CATAAAATCAGATGAATATAAAACAGAGAAACAGAAGAAAGGAAAGTTTACGTTGAAAAGAACCTCAAACTGAAAGTCAGGGAGTGAAAGTGAGTTTACAGCAGAGCTTTAAAAGTCTCAGCAGTCTGAAGTTCAGTCTGGATCCAGGACCATCTAACAGGACCTGTTGGACTGAAGTGTGGAGGTTGATGACATCACACAGGGAGGATGAGGTCAGACCTTTGAAAGATTTAAAAATAAGAAATAAAATATTAACATTGATCCTAAAACGAACAGGAAGCCAAAGGAGAGAATCCAGAACCAGGGATGTGTGTTCGTATTCTTTAGTTCCTGTTAAAAGACGAGCTGCTGCCTTCTGGACAACTTGTAACAACTTTTAAAATGTTTTTTCTCACTTTTATTCACTTTTCAAAAACTATTATATTTCTTTAGAAAAAGAATTTCAGATTGTGCTAAAGAACAGGGTTAGAAAGACTTCAGTGAATAAATAAATAAATTACTCTGCTGTGGATTATTTAGGAAGTGCTTATTTGAAAAACGATACTTTTTAAGATTTACCAGACACATTATGTGTGTTGTCACAAAGTGTCAGTATCGGATCAGAACCAGCCAGATGTTTCTGTAGGAGTTTAAACATCAGATGTCAGCACAGAGGCTGACGCCACTGGATTAGAGTTTTTTATTTTAAAACATGGRTTTTGTAACATTTTGAATGAATTCTGAATCTTTGTAAATGACATCATGATTCTGATGTGAAATATTTTTGGTGCAGCCCAAGAAGAAATAAAAAACAACATTTTAACTTTCAAACCTTTTAACAAAACTAAAGTTAATTCAGTAAAAACTCACATCTCTGTGACGTGATTCATCAGTAAAACTGTTCTTAGTTTGTCCTTACCCAGCTCTTTAGTCTGAGCGAGGTGTGTGTGTGTGTGTGTGTGTCTGTGTGCGTCTGTGTGTGTCTGTCTGTCCTCAGGTGTATGTGGGAGAACTTCCTCAGGACTTCCTGAGGATCACCTCCACCCAGCAGCAGCAGCAGGTCCAGCTGGACGCCCAGGCGGCCCGGCAGCTGCAGTACGGAGGCTCCATCGCCACCATGGGTCGACTCAGCATCACTGTGGTCCAGGTACAGAGTCTGAGTCCTGCTGGGACCAGCAGAGTCCATATTTACCTTTCTGTTTATTTCTTTATTAGCTTGTTTGCTTTTTAACAGGCCAAACTGGCTAAAAACTATGGGATGACCCGGATGGATCCGTACTGTCGGATCAGGCTGGGCTACGCAGTCTATGAGACCCCAACAGCTCATAACGGAGCCAAGAACCCACGATGGAACAAAGTGATCCAGTGTACGGTTCCCCCAGGAGTGGACTCCTTCTACCTGGAGATCTTTGATGAGGTGAGAGGATGGATGGAGGATGGATGATAGATAGATGGATGGATGATAGATGGATGGATGATGGATGGATGGAGGATGGATGGAGGATAGATGATAGATAGATGGATGGATGATGGATGATGGTTGGATGATGGATGGATGGATGGATGATGGATGGATGGATGGATGGATGATAGATGGAGGATGGATGATAGATAATGGATGGATGATGGATGGATATCCATCCATCCGGATGATGGATGGATGGATGATAGATGGATGGATGATGGATGGATGGATGATAGATGGATGATGGATGGATGATGGATGGATGATAGTTGGATGGATGGATGGATGGATGGAGGATGGGTAGATGGATGATGGATGGATGATTGATGGATGGATGATTGATGGATTGATGATTGATGGATGGATGATGGTTGGATGAATGATTGGATGGATGATGGATGGATGATGGATGGATGGATGGATGGATGATGGTTGGATGGATGATGGTTGGATG